TATATATATATATATATATATATATATATATATATATATATATATATATATATATATATATATATATATATATATATATATATATATATATATATATATATATATATATATATATATATATATATATATATATATATATATATATATATATATATATATATATATATATATATATATATATATATATATATATATATATATATATATATATATATATATATATATATATATATATATATATATATATATATATATATATATATATATATATATATATATATATATATATATATATATATATATATATATATATATATATATATATATATATATATATATATATATATATATATATATATATATATATATATATATATATATATATATATATATATATATATATATATATATATATATATATATATATATATATATATATATATATATATATATATATATATATATATATATATATATATATATATATATATATATATATATATAGTATATATATTCATATACACACAGAAAGAGAAAGAGATTATTCGCATTCCAAAGATAGTAGTGAGAATAACCTCTCCTCTCACTAATTCCTCTGTGTCTTATGCATTTCTTTTCATCCTCCCTCTTTACTGAAATCGTCTTCCCTTTCTCTCTTTTCTAACCAACATCTGACCCGTGTTGTTTTCCGCAGGGCTTCGAGGGGCCTCGCGGCGAGACCGGACCACCGGGCCCCAACGGCGAGAAGGGCAAGCTCGGAGTGCCCGGCTTCCCAGGGTACCCAGGGTCCGGAGGGCCCTAGGGGCTTCGCTGGCCCCGCTGGGCCACCAGGCGTCGACGGCAAGGACGGCATCATGGGCCCCCCGGGAGAGCGCGGTCCTCCGGTAGGTGGCGCCGGGCCTTCGCTCGCTCGCAGATACGCGCCTCGACTTTTCCTCTTTTGTTTCTACTTGCTATCTGCTCATTCTCGATCTTTACGTCGTTTCCTTTTTATCACTTCTTTTCTTCCTTCTTTATTTTTGGCTTTCTGACTTTCTAATCTCCATTATACCTCATTTTGTTTGTTCTCCTCTCCCCTCTCTACATGTTTAGCAGTCTTTTCATGTATCATAAAACTCTTGTCGGCCGACCTTGCATTGTCAGATATCATTTCATGTATTTGAATAGTTATTGCAATGCCCTTTGACTCGATCCATATAACCAGCCAGTTATTCTGTTCACAAAGACCAAACATGCTCCCTGTCAGTCCTTCCTTTACCATTACCATAAGTCTTCATCAGCATAGCCCTGTTCGCGTCCTGACCCACCGTCCCTCCCTCAGGGCGAAGCGGGGAACCAAGGACCACCTGGGCCTCCGGGCGTGGTTGGTCCCATGGGTTCCGCCGGCGAACCTGGCCCCATCGGAGACCCTGGTCCTTCCGGTACGTCGGGCGTTCCAGGAGAACCGGGAAGGCCGGGCGAGGCGGGCAAAGAGGGCGCTCCGGGTCCCATGGGTCCTGCAGGAAAGACGGGCCCTGTGGGTCCTCCGGGTCCGCCAGGCTTCCCAGGAGAGCGAGGGTTGCCGGGCATCCCTGTGAGTATTTTCTTGCCCTTGCCTCCATAGTATACCTGTGGTGCTTGCTTGTTTCGGTTCCATGTAGTATACTCATTATATGCTTGCTCTTGTTTTTAGAAGAAAATATTCTTTTTGCATATGCAAGAAAATAAGATGAAACATTCATGCAAATAAGAAATTAACTTTTTACCAATAAATTCACAATCAATGAGTTTTTTTTTTTTGAAATTTAGAGACCAAGGAGTGTAGGATGGTTCTGTACTTACGCGCAAATAAAAGTTTGTCTATATCTACAGCAGGCTCTCAGAGACGACATTTATTATGTTCGCTGTCATTTTCCTTTTCTTAGGTCCTTTGTCACTACGATTCCTTTGCTTTCCTTCCCTTAGCCTCCACAGTTTCGGTCCTTTTTAACGTTTCTCTGTGTGGTTGACCCCAGGGAGCGCCGGGCCTGAAGGGCGAGATGGGCCCCCCAGGACCAGCCGGAGCCACCGGGGACAAGGGTGCCATGGGCTTGGCCGGCGAGGCAGGCCCACAAGGACCCATGGGCAAGAGCGGACCTCGAGGCAGCCGCGGTTCATCTGGAGCCAAGGGAGAGAGTGTAAGATATCGAAGGAAATCATTTGGTATGCTTTGATTTTATGGGGATTTTCCGCCATTATGAGCTAACATCATTTTCTTATCCGATCTATTGTGTTATTCTAGGGAGATCCAGGCATACCCGGACCAACTGGGCGTGATGGTCTCCTCGGACCGAGAGGTAAAGAAATGCCAGTTGTTTGAACATTTGATGACGCAATTTCCTAAGGAGTAATGAAGTAACAGACACAGAAATCAAAAGATACGAACCTGCCGTCCCTGCAGCGGAAGGCGAGGCGGACAGTCCCTGACTCACCTTTCTCCCGCAGGTCTCCCTGGTCCCCCCGGCCCCGTCGGCGAACCGGGTGAGGACGGCGACAAGGGCGAGGCCGGTGCGCCGGGAGAGAAGGGCTTCAAGGGCGACAAAGGAAACCAAGGTCCCGCAGGGCCTCCAGGCCCTCAGGGTCTGCGAGGCGCACCTGGAGCCCCTGGAGCACCTGGCGAGCGCGGCTCCCCTGGCGGTATGGGCCACGCTGGCCGCAAGGGCGAGGACGGCCCACAGGGTCTTCCTGGCCCGGCCGGACCACCCGGCCTCCAGGGCATGCCTGGTCCCTCCGGCGTCAAGGGCGAGAAGGGAGACATCGGCAAAAGAGGCCTCCCCGGCCCCCTCGGCCCCATCGGCGAACAAGGCGCTCCTGGAAGCAAGGGCGGCCCAGGGCTCCCAGGCCCCAACGGCCCCGACGGCCCCCAGGGTGCCAAGGGAGAGCCAGGCCAGTCCGGCCCGCCCGGTCCACCCGGAAAGGACGGCGAACACGTGAGTCATGGAGTCGCAGTTGACGCGGCATGAACTTGAACCGCTTTGTGGAATGGCTAGCGCCCCCCCCACCCCCCACCCAAAAAGAAAGTAGATGAGTAATCAGAATACAGAATAGGAATTTGTATAAATACTTTGCTACGTAGGCTCCGTAGGAAGCACTAGCAAAACTAAGGTATGAGACATTCAGAAGAGTAACCCTTCCCTCCAGATTTCCAAAAGATAGCTATACAAAAGGTTTAGTGATTAAAATTGACATGAATGTGGGCCTCCTCCCATCTTTCAGGGACGCGAAGGACCTGCCGGACCCAAGGGCGAGGAGGGCAAGCCAGGACTCCAGGGATCTCCGGGTATTCGTGGACCGATCGGCCCGCCCGGGCCCAAGGGCAACTCCGGCCCACCTGGCTTCCCCGGCGCCGTGGGAGAACCCGGCAAGCAAGGGCCCAAGGGCAACCCCGGCAAGGACGGCGACGACGGCAAGGTCGGAGAGCAAGGTCCCCCCGGGGAACCCGGCTCACCCGGCCAGATGGGGCTCCCGGGAGTCAACGGAAAACCGGTACGAGCAACAGCTTCCATTGCTATTGGCTATACTTTTATCACTCTATGAATGTTATCATGCGGACCCAAATTTTATTTTTATTTTATTTTTTTTATTTATTTTTTTTTTTAGATGCATTCAATGTAGTATTCTATCTTCTGCTCTTGTGGCCATTTGTCCGGCCTCTAACTTTGTAATGAAAGTTACTCGTCGCCATCATACTTACACGGATTTGGAGTATCATTGTCTTGCCGCCAACGACCCTGGAGCTATTTGCCGTGCAATACGTGTTCATCGTTCTCCGTCTTTTCCAGGGTCCTGAGGGGCCGGCTGGCGTGCAGGGGCCTCCAGGGCAGCCGGGAGAGAAGGGAGACACTGGTGTGACTGGACCTTTGGGGCCTCCGGGTGCCACTGGGCCTCAAGGTCTTCCTGGACCTCAGGGGCTGCCTGGTCTGCGAGGATCTCCTGGACCTGCTGTAAGTACCTCGGCCGATCAGGAGTTACCTCTTCGGCCGAACTGGGAGGATATGTAGTCTCAGAGAGAGAGAGAGAGAGAGAGAGAGAGAGAGAGAGAGAGAGAGAGAGAGAGAGAGAGAGAGAGAGAGAGAGAGAGAGAGAGAGAGAGAGAGAGAGAGAGCGTGTGTATTTGTATGCTTGTGTGTATTTGTCAATTGTAGTGATGGGGGTGGAAACTGCATAACACTACATGTGGTTGGTTCTCTGACAGGGCGACCTGGGTCTTCCGGGCAAGGACGGCGCTCCAGGACAGCCAGGTCTTCCAGGTCTCCCTGGTCTCAAGGGCCAAAAGGGCTCCCGAGGCCGCCGAGGGCCGAAGGGGCACCGCGGAGAGATCGGTATTTCCGGCCCCAAGGGCGACATGGGCGAAAAGGGAGAGCCCGGGAAGAACGGGCCTCAAGGTCCTTCTGGCTTCAAGGGCGAACCCGTGAGTACCGCCTGTTGTCTTTGGGCTTTTCTCTTTATAATGTCATGATTTTTTGCGTCCTTATTGTTCACTGGAACTTTGTTGATTTTACCTCATTTCATGGCCTTAATATATTTCCTCACCGAGTCTGATAATCACGTCATGCATTCCTGACTTAAGTTTTCTCCACGTGGATTTAGGGGCCTTTGGGCATCTTAGGCTTGAAGGGTTCGGATGGACCCCAGGGTCTGCCAGGTGACATCGGACCTCCCGGGCCCAAGGGCGTGCCTGGAGCGACTGGCCCCAAAGGAGAACAGGGTCCTTCAGGTCCTCCAGGTCCTCCGGGTCCTCCAGGAGAACTACCACTGCTTCCTCCGGAGCTCCTCTTCCAGCGCGACGCTCCCTACGACCCGGACGACTCTGGCCGCTTCAAGAGGTCGCCGAGGTGAGTGCTGGCTCTTGGTTTAGTTTGAACCTGCGGTTCAAAGAGGAAGGGTGGCCCTTCCCCGCCAAGGAGTTCGGGGAGGCCTCGAGGTCCTCGCTCGCTCCCGACTCCCGAAGGGTGGTAGTAGGGCGGGATTCACGAGGCACG